CCGGCCTCCTCCGCCGCCTCCCGCCGCTCCCCGTGATCCCGGGCCTCTCAGTTTAGCTCCCTCACCTCTAATTCCCCTCGAATTTATCGACGACACAACTCCCAGCTCGAACGCCGAGCCCTGGCCCGATTTAGGGCTAGTAGCAGGAAGCGGAAGTGATATAACGGAAACATCCGCTGTTAGGTGCTTCCGGATTCCGGGCTTTCACAGACGCGGTTCTGTGGCGCAGTTTGCCGAGCCGAGGCTGGGTTGGAAGACTGTGAGACTGAGCGGCGGTCCTAGTGGATTTACAGCCGACGGTCGGAGCAGTGTTGGCGATCCCTTTGTTGTGGAAGAGACCCAAAGCGTCTGCCATCCCCAAGCCAAACAAACCTCCTACCGCAGAATCCCGGCTGCCCAGCGGACCTGGAGTCGCGCGGGTGCCCTGGCTGCCGCGCTCTCGGTGTTCATTCAAAGCTCCGTCTCGGCCCCTGTGCTTGCCGTTACCCTCTGACTACAGCGACTGCTTCCGAGACCCTAGGGGTGCAGACTGCCGCCGATGAAAGCTAAGCTGTGTCTCGGGCGGCAGGCCGTGCTCCACACCACCCTATGTGTCTGTCGGGGTCCTGCCTGCGAAGATGTTGGAAACACCATCCTGGACAAAAAAAAAAAAAATCGATTTTTTTTCTTCTTTTTTTAATCTTCGAGGAACACCTTGTTACAGATTACAGAATCGCGAGAGCTGATGGGGAAGGAATCCCTCTCTAAATTCAATCAGTTCCCACCTCTCCTGAACGATAACTTCTTAGCAGACAGTACTCAGTAAGGTAAGATATACACATATATTTATTTTTTAAAAGTTGCTTAATTTTCTTGACATGGGGTGTCAATATATAGACCAAGCTGATCTCGAATTTGTGGTACTAATGTCCACCCTCGGAAGTTGCTGGTATTATATAGGCCAGTGTATTAGAAGCTATCCTGGTCTATATAGCGAGTTCCAGGCAAAACTTTGTAGAGAGACTGTCTCAAAAAGAAAAAGAAAAATCTACCAGGGCCTTGTGCTTAGCTAATACCACTTATACAAAATTTATCCTTACGAGTAGGCAGCAGAAAGCATTACTTTTTCTTTTTATTGGCACTTGTGGCCACGCCTCCCTGGCTTGGCAGTCCTGGCCCCTCAGCCTCACCCCAGTTACACCTTTCGGTCTGGAATGAAGTCCTGATTCACGTCCTTAGTGTTCTGATCTGGTCCATCCTCTTCCCGGTGCGTCGTTCCCGTTCAGAAAATACTTCCCAGGCTCAAGCATACGTACCAGAAAAATGGGGTTTCTTTTTTTTCTTTTTTTTTTTTTTTTTTTTTTTTTTTTTTTTTTTGTTGTTGTTGTTTTTCGAGGTAGGGTTTCTCTGCGTAGCTTTGGAGCCTATCCTGGCACTCGCTCTGTAGACCATGCTCTGCCTCGAACTCACAGAGATCCGCCTGCTCTGCCTCCCGAGTGCTGGGATTAAAGGCGTGCACCACCAAAAAATGGGGTTTCTTACTTTCCTTTTCATTCTCTTCTTTTTCTTTCCTTTCTTTTCTTTGATGTTGGAAATGGAACCTAGGCCTTCTAGCATGTTAGGCAAAGGCTCTCCCACTGAGCTGCACACCCAACTCCTTGCTTAGCTCTTGCTTCTGCCTCCAGCGATGCTCTTAGGGTTCCGTTCCTGCTCTGAACCCCTCGTCCAGTCCTAAGTCCCCCAACCCCTCCCTGCGACGCCCCCCATTCCAAACTTGACTCAACCCTCTATATCGGACCTTGTTCCGCCTAAGCTAGGCTTTACAAGTTTGGTCGTCGGCCCCAGCTAGGACCCCCAGTTGTTGACACACCTCTGAGCCCCTTCAAGGTACGGTTTCTGGCCTGGCGGCTCTGTTAGCTTTCCCTATCCAAGTCACGGCTCCTGGGCGTAAGGTCCGGTTCCAGCCTGCTCTCTGACCGGGCCACATCCGTAACTCTCTTCTAGCTCAAGTACAGCCTGTGGGCCCGCCACTAGTCGCTCGGCGGTGGACGCTCCCGTTGGCCTCTTCCTACTGAAGCCAGGTCTTTTACTATTGTGGCTGACCACCTCCAGGCTGCTCCTCTGACTGACCTCGGCTACACCCCTGCACTCCGGCGCGTTTTTTCAAAATGCCACGCCCCAAACATCTCCGCGGCCCCGTCTCTCTGTCTCGTCTTCGTTTCCCCTCCGCCAGAGCCCCGTCTTTTAGGCGAGCGGCTTCAGTCTGTCCCGAAGATAGTTTACACGCCTCGGCTCGCCACGTCTCCTGGTCCTGGCCACGCCCTGAACCCGGTTCTGCCGGAGCCACGCCTTCTTGGTTGCCCCTTCCCCTTTCGATTGGCTGCAGCACTTAGCTCCGCCTCCTGGCCACGCCTCCGGGACCCCCCCCCCGAGCCACACCTTCTGGGCTGGCTGTTCGCCTCCCACCCTGGCCCCGGCCGCGCCCTGGGCCCCCTCCTCACTCAAGCCACACCTTCGGGGCTCGCCTACTCTGTTCTACCCGCCGGCCTCGTCAGGCAGGCAGGCAGGCCTAGTGGACTCCAGTCCCGGCCTCCCACCGGCGGAGAAGCCGAGCCGCCGCAGCCCGGGAAAGGAGAGCAGCGCTGCCAGGCAGGCCTCTGAAAGTCGCGCCGGCTTGGCCAGTCCAGCCACCTAAGCGCCCTCGGGAGCGCGGGCCTCGCCGCCACCGGAAACGGAAGCGTGGGACAGCAGGACCATGGCGACGCTGTTTGACCTCCCGGACTTGGTGCTCTTGGAGATCTTCTCATACCTCCCGGTCCGGGACCGGATCCGCATCTCCAGGTGCGGCCCCGCTCCTCGGGGGAAAGAGCCGGGCAGGGGCTCGGCAG